GCTGCCAGCGCGTAAGGCTGACAATCTTATCGCCATCTGTGAGCCGATTGTTTAGATAACGTGGGAGCCTCGACGTCTCACAACCCTATGGGCCTCCACGGCCTCTTACAGGGATATCTTTACCTTTTTACGGTTATTTTGCTCCTACTTCTGTCTCTGTCATCAGACTCTAGAACTTATTGCTGTTATTTATTTCGAAGAGTACTATCTTCTGAGCTGTGACATCAACTGATCTTGTAGCACTTTACCGACGTTTCAGAGAAACTATTTTTCGGTCTTCAAGGTCGAAGGTGAAGCCGAGTAGGAGAACAAGCAAGTAAGAAGCAGCAGTAGCAGCTGAAGAGTTTGAATTTCCTCTGTGTAGGTCTTTTATATTTCCAAAAAGCGCCAGTTATGAGAGGAAAACATGAAAAATGAAATTGGTTGTCATAAGCGGATGAAATAAGTAAATTGCAGTATGTCCAGTATTTGCCACAGGTGCATACAAATATTTGCTAGGACAAAGAAGAAAACAAAAATGCTTAAGCTGACTTCACCTCTTTCGTGTACCCTAAATGTTTATTTTATTCTTTTCTCTCTCCTTATATCATTTCCTGTCGTCATCATCTCTTTGTGTCTTTCTGCCTCTCAGATTTCTTTCCTCTCTTCTGTTTCACTTTATTTGTACAAGAACTCCATACCCTTGCAACCATCACACGTCATGACGTTCTTACGGCCAGACCCGAAGTCCTTACTAACAAGACCAGAAGCCTGTACGTTTTGTTTGAACGAAAATCAACAATCCACGAATATACGAATTATCATTATCCACTAACTGAATTATGAATGAGTTCATTTAAAATAGTTACGGAAAGCATGAAGCCCGAAGATCATTAACTCCAATTTGCGCGATTCTGAAAGCGTTCTGGGAGCTTGTCTATTGGCGCAGAGTCGCTTTTGGCGTCACGTGGATGTCCTGCCTAAAGCAGCCTACTCCAATCAGTATCACTTCTGTGGGCAGACATAGTTCCCTTCCTTTTCAGCTTTCATTTACGTCTGTATTAAATACCATTGAAGCTTAACAGTGAAACTGAAGTTATCCCCATAGTTAAGCACCACCCCATGAAGAGTTATGAGGGAATGGAGAATTAAGGAATCAGCTTCACGCCTCGGCCACCTAACCCCAGTACACATTGGGTAGAAGAGTGACCCTACAACCGGTCTCAGTGTGGTGCCGAAAAGAGAAATGCTTGTCTCTGCCCGGAGAGTCGAACCTTGGTTGTCCAGCCTTATTCTCGTCACTATAGTGACTGAATTATTCGGCTCTCAATTTTTATTGTAATTCAAGGAAAGGATGTTTTCCCCGCTTTTTCAGTTCCTTAATTTTATACACAGTCGGAAGGACTCCTTGGACGAGGGATCAGCCCGTCTAAAGGCCGCTACCTACACACAGAACAACACAAACAAACATCCATACTTTGAGTGGGATTCGAACCCACGATCCCAGTGTCTGAGCGGATGAAGAGAGTTCATGCCTTATACCGCGCGGCCACTGTGATCGGCTGGAATTAAAGTCAAGCAAAAATATTCTCAGTAAACTGTCCCGGAATCAGTTCGTTCATTCCTTACTGTTTTTTCTCATGAAGCGATTTCAGCAAATGTATCCGGAAATTCAGGTTCTGCAACTGTGGCTGTGTATAAGTTTCGGCCCATGAGAAGTCCAGTAAGAACACGTTTTCTCAGCTGTTAAGTCTCAAACAGTAAACAGGCCCAGTAGATTAATGAAAGGTAAAACTTATCCGATACTTCGTCACTTCAGCATTCGCTGGGCGTTTAATTAATATATGTCCCAGTTCTGGTTAATTTTATTTGTTTGCTGAAGAACAGAAACCGATGTTTTGGCGACGTTCTCGAAGCAGTAGAGGTAGAGCATAGAAGGGGAAAGTGGTGATCACACAAGCAATCCTATATGGTGCCATTGGGGAATGCAGCGTGGCCAGATTCAAGCTGCTGGGACAGTCGCAGCCACGTCCAACTGGACACGGACCCCAAAATAAGAGTATAGCGAAGAATGCCAATTAGCGCTCACATTTTTTTTCTATATACCACGTTAATTTTATTGTTTATTTAATGCGGATAGTGGACTTATTTGAAAACACATGACGCTACAAACACAACGCTGCATGCTCCTTTGTTGCAGGTCCTTACGTATCCTCTATAGATGCCTGTTGAAAACGTCGAGATTTGAGGTTTTCACAACGAAGCGTCAGTATCTGTTTACCAGACTATAAGGTGTCACATTCCTTAATAGAGTATTCTTCTTGCTGAACCATACGTCATACAAAATTATCTGTCTATGGCTTTGCAGTTCTTTGTTGGGCCCTGGCCGCTTTTTCAGTTTCTTAATCGTATACAGAATCGGTAGGACTCCTTGGACGGGGGATGAGCCCCGTCTCAAGGTCGCTACCTATACACAGAATAGCACAAACCTAGAGTAAAGGCACACAGACATTCATGCCTCCAGTGGGATTCGAATCCACGGTCTTGGTGTTCGAGAGGGCAAAGACGGTTCATGTCTTCGACCGCGCGGCCCCGGCCCCCGCCCCCGCGATCGGCATGCGAACACATATAGGCCTGTTATTAGTACGTGCACGTATTTTACACCATAATTTTTCTAGACGAATGATGAAGATGTGTTTAAGCTCGATGTAAAGTTGGGGTTATATTGAGGTGCCATGAATCAAAATTAAATTCATCCCTCTGCTTCTAGCGTAAACTGCGTAATGAGGAGCTTCATAACTTCCACCCTTCTCTATAATTAGAATGATCAAGTCCAGGAGGACGAGGTGGGCAGGGCGTGTAGCGGGAATGGGGAGTAAAGGAATGCATATAGGATATTGGTGGGGAAGCCAGAAGGAAAGAGACCACTAAGAAGACCAAGACGAAGGTGGATGGATAATATTAAAATAGATCTTAGAGAAATAGGATGGGGTGGTATGAACTGAATCGATCTGGCTCCGGATAGGGACCACTGGTGGGCTCTTGTGAACAAGGTAATGAACCTTCGGGTTCGATAGATTGCTGGGAAGTTCTTGAGTAGCTGCAGAATTGGCAACTTCACAGGAAGGGCTCAGCTCCATGAAGTTATTTAGTTGGCTACTAGTGTATACTACTACTAGTATATAACCATATTAGATATTACTGAAATCGGTCAATCACGTTTGGGAATGCAACATGGATGAACGGATCAGAACACCCCCCCCAAATTATATACGCGTTTCATGGACTTTAAGAACAGCGAATCACTTTTCATTGAACTCGCTATGAAAATATTGCCACTGGCTTTGTCCCTCACGCACGGTTGTGCAAACTGTTTCAACCCAATTACAAACAAACTCATTGCCCTACAAATGAATACGATTTTGTCAGTAATTTCTGTGGTCGTTTTTCTAGTTTAGAGATTAATTTTTGAAGCCACCGAAGCGTCATTCATTCAACTCGGTATTTAGAGCTTGCCACTTACATTCACTTTTAACACAGTAGTGGGTAAACAGGTGGAAATCATAGCATATTCTACCTGCTTGTCAGCTGTGCTGCCTCTGCATAGTCGATCCAGTTCTATTCCAGTCAGACAGAAACACGCCCGTTTCTTTGAACTCCTTCCATAATTCTGATACGGCTTTGCGCTGACCCAGAGCGCAGCCAGTTCAGTTTCTTGTTCTGAAATATCCGTGGTTACGGAGGCAACTTCAGGGGAACTAGAACAGAACACAGGGTTGGCCAACTACTCTCTATGGCGACGATTCCAGCAAAATTTTACTGTAACTTGTATATAAAAGAATGGTTCCAACTTCCATGATATGAATACAGTTGCCATCTTGTAGTGCACTCAGTTTCATCTGTTACTTCACGACATGTTTCGGCAACATAGTGCCGTCATCAGGTGCCCTAATTACGCTAATCTATTTCATTGCTTGCCTTTATAAAATTATTTAAAAAGTGCGTATTTGTCAACTATAATGAATATACACATACTAAAACTTGTTATTTATTCATCTTATGTGTCATAATTAAAACTTGTGTGTGGTTCTTCCACTATGAGGGTCGTTTTTCTTATATTCTGCGTAAACCGTGTCTTGTGATGTGTGTTCCCTTCTTAGCTGCGAGCTAATAATTTAGCGTAATTAGGGAACCTGATGATGGCACTATGTTGCCGAAACATGTCGTGAAGTAACAGGTAAAACTGAGTGCACTACAAGACGGCCACTGTATACATATCATGGATGAAAATCAGTGCAACAGGACGCTAAAATACAACATTATGAATGGTTCCAACTTATTAACCTGTTAAAGTAATATTTCTTATATATATTTCTCCTCTAGGTTCTAAAGGAATAAGGCATATATAAATAGTTGTTCTTGTGGGAAGGTTTCAGAACTTTATCTCTGTAACTCGGAAACGAAGCGCTTTCTGTTGGGTTTTCCTTATGGAATAGATTTTTTAGCCATACTTACTCACGGAGCTGGGCCCTTCTTGAGGAGCCGCCAATTCTGCAGCTACTCAAGAATTTCCCAGCATTTAATGGAAGCCGGAGATTTATTACCGTGTTCACAAGAGCCCTCCACTGATCCCTATCCTGAGCCAAATCGATCCAATCCACACTGTCCCATCCTATCTCTCTAAGATCCATTTTAATATTGTCTACCCACCTACCCTCTTTCCTTCTGGATTTCCCACCAATAATCTACACGCATTCCTCGTCTCCTCCATTCGTGTTACATGCCCTGCCCACCTCATCCTCCTTGACTTGATCATTCTAATTACGAGTATACTTGGAGAAGAGTACAAGTTATGAAGCTCCTCATTATGCAGTTTTCTTCAACCTAGCCATACCTAATTTTAAATTTAATAAGTATATATATATATAAGTAAGAAAAGTTCACGCAGATAATCCATGAAAGTGCACGATAACATTAATTCCAGAATGAATATAAGACGCCAAATGCTTTTCATTTCACAGGTGAAATCGTAACACGCGAACCGTTGGACCGTGAACTGAAGGCAATGTACGAAATCGTAGCGGAGGCCAGGGACCAGGGCGTACCCCCTCGAAGCTCCCGGGTTGCTGTCCACGTAGCCGTCACAGACGTTAATGACAACTCTCCAGAACTGGTCGACCCTCAGGAAGACGTCACCAGTGTTCGGGAAGAACAGCCACTTGGAACGGAAGTGGTACGTGTTCGCGCAATCGACAGAGACGAAGGAAACAACGCCTCTGTCACGTATTCCATTCTGAAGGGCCGAGACTCCGATGGCTACGGAGTCTTCACTGTCGATCCTGTGTCAGGGTTAGTTCGTACACGGGCTATATTGGATCATGAAGACAGAGCCATCTACCGGCTCGCTGTGGCTGCTACTGACAGCGGGAAACCACCGAGGCAGACAGTTCGACTCCTAAGGGTAGAAGTTCTCGACCTGAATGACAATCGACCCACGTTCACAAGTTCCAGTCTCGTCTTTAGGGTAAGTACTGTTTCACTCTGTTGGTGCGGATTTACTAAAGTAAGGCCGTGCCATAGCTCAAGCGGTTAGTCGCTGGCTTCCCACCGCAGCGGCCCGGGTTCGATCCCGGGTCTGGTCAAGTGGGTTTTGTGGCGAACAAAGTGGCACTGTGGCAGGTTTTCTCCTAGTACTTCGGTTTCCCATGCCAAGCTTATTCCACCAGTTGCTCCACAATCACCCTCACCTATCATCTGGGGTTGGTACAATAGGCAGAAGTGGCCGCAGTACAAGGGACCTAGTCCTACCCCACTAGCAATAAAAAAGAATTTACTAAAGTACAGGGTGTCCGGATGAAAGGTATCAAAAATAAAATAATTATATCCCAGAAAGCTTTTATTATACACATTTATGTGTTACACCACTACAAAAAACTACCAAATTCTTTTCTGAGTACATAACTGTCTCAGTAAATTTCAACGTGGTCTCCTTTGGTGGCACGACAAATATCCAGACGATCCAGCTATGTTTGGTGTTACCATAGCCACAGCGTCCCTTATGCAGACTTTCAAGTGTTCCATGTCGTTGATCTTAACCTGGTAGACAGTGTTCTTCACATAACCCCACAAGAATAAAATTCAGTGGGGTTAAATCTGGCGACCTAGGAGGCCAAGCGATTGGGCCACTTCTGCCCAACTATCTCCGAGCCATCACTCTGTCCAAGTGATTCCTAACATGGTGGCAGAAATGTGGCGGCGCATGCGCATTAGCGGTGCATGGAAAAAAAACTTACAGGGTTTTCCTTTCCAATGACATAAACCGGATACGTATATGACAATTACTTTCCGAGATATAATTTTTTTCTTTTGGATACCTTTCATCCGGACACCCAATATATATTTCACTGTTAACACCTTACGTACATCCAGAATGGATTTCAAATGAATCGGATGTGACTGTGTGAACTGGATTCAGCTGGCTCAGGATAGGATTCAGTAGCGATCTCTTGTGAGCACAGTAATGAAACTTCAGGTTTCGTAACAGGCAGGGAAGACATTGTCGAGCTGAACGATTGTCAGCTGGTGAAGATAAACACTTCTCCATGCACTGGAGTACTGACTGGAGTACTTTCATTTCCTCTGTCAGTTTTCCACTTCTACACTGTTCCCACACATGGACGTCGATGCGGAGAGGGTAAAAGGCAGGCAGAATTTAAAATAGAAGGAAATATGCTAGGATACTAATCCTATAATCTGAGCACTAGTGTGATCAGCAACAGTAATCTTAAACGGCCTAAAGTTAAGTGGGTATAAATGTTCATCACTCCTTCTTAATTCTGCCAAAGGAATTTTGTATACGAGTGTATGGATTATGGTTATTATGTTATTTGACCACAATTTTTCAACAGCGGAGCCTACAATTTGGTGTTTAGTGAGATTGGATGCCGGTCTAGAAAACCGAAATTAACGGCCTTGGGGATTCGTTGCGCTGACCACGCGACACCCTCTATCCACTGTTGGTACTAACTTCGCCGAAAAGCGGTGGTCGCTCGGTCGGTGTAGTTCGCTTGCGGACTAAAACCACGGAGTTTCTTTGTGAGATTGGATGATGATCCTGAATACAGATCCTGAGTATAGGAGAATTTTCAAGGAAATATCCTGGTCTGTTTCTAGTAATTTGGCATTTTGTCAAAGTGAATGACGAAAACCATAAAATTCTCAGTAAAACTTCAGATATTCTAACTACCCACCTACTGAATATAGTCTCGTTAAATAACCTTTTACGATTACAACCTCATCTGATTTGGGAGAGTGACTGTTTACTGGCTGGATTACTGAGTTTGATTCCCGGTGGGGGCAGGATTGATGTATTCGCTACCGTGCCAAGGCACAGCCTGGTGTCTGCCGAGCTTCGTAACCACTGGGCAGATCTCTTCTGTTTGTTCCATGGATTTAGAACAAGGTGACCCTGAAGCTGACCACAGAAGCACATCGTGATCTAGCATGCTTGGATCTTTGGCTCCACTCTCCTTTCTGTACACGTTGTGGTGTTTATGGATAAGGTACCTCTTTGACTAACTTTGTGCATATTCTTGTTTGAGATTTCTGGATAGTGTATTCATATAACATCGCCGCTGGAGCCGGTTGAAAACAGTAATCATAGTCACATGGCGGTGACCATGAATTTTACTATCTGGGATGTGACACTGCGTAATTTAGTAGATAATTACCGAAGTTTCGGAAGACTTGACGGGACCATCTCTTCAGAGTCATTCTGAGCATGGAGGCTGCACCTTCAGCCGACATATATTTACCAGACTACACGACATCACACACCCAATAACAGCGTTATTTATTTTGATGTTATCCTCCCATCTGTGCCTGGTCTCATTACTTGATTTATTCTGACAAAAAATAGATATATATTAATTATTAGTTTTGCAAATGAACCCGCGGTTTTTTAGGCAGCTTCTTCATCATTTTGCCGTACAAATAATATTAGACGAGTCGTAAAATTTAAGGGATTTGCCATTACGCGTTTCTGGTCTAGAAAACCGATTAACGGCCGTAGGGATCCGTTGAGTTGACCACGCGACACCCTCTATCCGCTAAAGTTGGTACTAACTTCGCTGGCAAGCGCCGGTCGCTCGGTCAGTATAGTTCGCTTGCGGACTACAGCCACGTAGTTTGTTTATTTTGTTTATTTGCCATTACATATTTTTCTCAATTCTCATTTTACTTTTCTTCCTTAGGAACAAATACTTTCTCACAATTGTGCTACCAAACTTACTGTCCTTAAAACCTTAAATATATTCTTAATTTTATTGTAAACTGATTAGAAGTCAGACGTTCTCTTCTGTTATGATCACTTTAATTATATAATCAGTTGGAAGTGAAACAACCCATTGACATGGAACGTTAAGGCAGAGTGGAGTCATAGACATAGCGCGTACATGTACCGTACAGCTGACAACCATGTCATTTTCGTGGAAACTTTATTAAACGCCATTACTTTTTTATTTTCAGTTACCTTTTATTTTCCTTCTTCGCACCAGATCATTTAAGAGCGTTTTTGACAGCAAACAATTATTGCATGTCTATAAACATATCTTAACGTCTCCACATCGTGTGTCAAAAATTCGTCACTTCATTCCATTTTTTTTTTAAATTCCCGTCGTAACTTTGTTTCTTCTTTTATTTTTACTTCTAGCGAAATTTACCGCTAGAAATGCGAGCCGCTAACAAACTGTTTGCTCTTTAGATTTCATTCAAGACTTGAACTACTTACTTTTTTGTTGTCCTCTACAAATTCTCTTCACCTCCTTTACATTCTGTTTTCGTCTTGTTGTCTCTTCTGTTTCCGGAATCCCGTTCACCCGGTTGGGCCAGGTTTCTGGTGGCCAGTACCATCCCTTCTCTGGATGCCTATCAATTGACACTGTACTCATAAGATAATTATCGTGGTCCCTCGTACGAAGTAACATAAAAACGTAATTGCGTCTCTGGTTATTACTGTTAAGCATGTTTGCTTGTTGGTATAGTCGGTACGTATGCATTTCGAATCTTGATAGGATTACCTGATGTCCTGACTAAATGCTCAGATTTCTGGATAAATTCCGGCATGTCATGTATACAAATTTCGCTATGACTTCATTTATTGTCACGTTCGTATAACATTTGGCTCTATGTAATCTCTACATTTGACATGACCTCCGTTGTTACTATAATCACCTCTTCCAAAACAATATTAAAACAGAGGTGAGTAACATTTTCTGCATGGGAGCAAATTTATGAAACATAAATGCTACCCTTGTTGCTACAAAAAATGACAACTGTAAAATATTTATTGAATAAATTGTTATCCCACTTTCCCTCCTTACAAAACTTTGCGTGTACTTTGGATCTGGCTCATCCTGGTCCGTCACACTAGCAATATTATAAAAATTTAATCAGCTGGCATTGTAATTATATTGTATGTATCTATTGATATTGACCAAACACGTTGTAATTGTAATTTCTGTCTGTATTGATATATCCTGAAGATGATCTCTAAGACCGAAACATGTCAAGGATGAAAGATTAAAAAGGAAAGAAAAGAAAAAAACATTTTATGAGTCACACTGAACGAAGTTGATTAACCTTTTATAATTTGTACTACTTGAGAATAAATTAAAAAAATAATTAATGTCATTTTGGTATATGAACCGAACATTGCCTCTGGTCGGAATTAATTGTTTAACGGTCACAGTTTGTGCACGCCTGATCCAGAATGTTACTAACATTAAACATTTTCTTCAATTCATACGACAGTCTTAAAGTTAAGGTCATTGTTAATCTCGTGACCTCAGCAGCTAGTGCTGTCCATTTCATAAACACTTAATATTTTTCAGGTGAAGGAAGACGTGAAAGTGGGTCACGTTGTCGGTACTGTCGCAGCATCCGAGTCCAGCGAGGGAGACAATCTGGTTACAGGCAGAGGTGGCAGTCATGTAACCTACACCCTGACAACTCTCACACCCAGCAGTTCCTCTGGTCACCATAACGGCCAGGTTGGTTCCGAAGTGCCTGTAGGAGCCTTTGACATCGATCGAAGTTCAGGTTCTTTGGTAGTAGCCCGCGAGTTGGACCGTGAAATGCAGTCTGAATATCGGCTGGAGGTCCGTGCTTTGGACACGACCGCCAGCAACAATCCCCAGAGCAGCGCCGTTTCTGTCCGCGTCGACGTTGCAGATGTCAATGACAACGCTCCTCGTTGGCCCGATGATCCAGTCAACATCCTCGTCCCAGAAGACACTCCTGTCGGTTCTGTGGTATGGAACTTCACAGCGTTTGATGCTGATGCAGGTCTCAACGGTGAGATTCGTTACAGCCTGGTCAGGCAGTGGCCAAACATAACCAGAACCTCAACCTTCACAGTTGACCCACTGACGGGAACTTTGACTCTCAATGCAGACCTGGACTATGAGGCTCTTCCTGAATACACTTTGATCGTCCGAGCCACTGACCAACCGTCCAACAAGTCAGAGAGATTGAGCACTTCTGTGACGGCCCGAGTGCTGGTGACAGATGCTAATGATAACTCTCCTGTGTTTGTGTCACCGGCGCCCTCCTCTGTGTTGCTTAGTGATAGTTCCCCTGTGGGCACGACACTGTGTCACGTGATCGCAGTTGATCGTGATTCTGGTGATAATGGTCGTGTGACTTATGTGATAAGTAGTGGAAATCAAGAAGGTAAATTCGCGTTAAGTTACGATACGGGAGTGCTGACCTTAGCAAGGTCACTTGTATCTGTTGAGGCCCCTGCTAACAGAAGAGGAAGTGGTGGAAGTGGTGGTGGTGCGAGTGGTGGGAGATACACCCTCAACGTGACGGCAAGTGACCATGGCGCACCTACCCCCAGACATACCACTAAGGTTCTTCAGTTTATCGTGCAAGGCACGAAGGAGAATCCGCCGAGGTTCCTCCACTCCCTGTACCACGCTAACGTTTCTGAAGATGCCGCCATCGGTACCTACGTCACCAAGGTGCTAGCCAGATCTCCAGTATCTGAACCCGGTAAGTGCAAGTATTAATTAATTTCATGGGGTCTATAGTACTTGGGATCCGAAGTTCTCTCAGCCGTGATTCTGAAGAGCGCTGTTTTCTGGAATGTAACGCTTGCTGTCTGCTTCATGTGTGACACGCGGTAGCGTAGTTGGTTCCTGCAGTATGCTACAAGCCGTAAGGTTAGAATCCCGATGAGGTAATTTTATTTTTTTTCTCTTTACCTAATCCTTCCAGCCCCAACATGGCCCTGGAGTCGACTGAGCCTCTAACAGAAATGAGTACCAGGAAGATTTCTAGGGTGGTAAAAGACGGCGGGCGCGTAAGGCTGACATCCTTACCGCCATCTTTGAGTCGATTGTCGAGAAAATGTGGGAGCCTCGACCTGTCACACCCCTATGGGCATTCACGGCCTGTCACAAGGCAGCTTTGCCTTTACCTTTTTATCTGCTTCATGCATATTGCTTGGTTTATTCTTCGATCCTGAAGATGGAGCAACATGTTCTGGTTTGACGTTCGTCACCGCAACATTCATCACTGTCACCACCACTATCATCTTAAGGATCCATAACCACTGTTTCCGCCATCACCGACACGATCACCACATCAGCATCTCCATTGTCGCCACTACCTCCAGTATCACCACCATCACCATGACCATCACCACTGCAATCACTTCTTACGAGACGATGAAGCCCAGAAGCTGTGAAGATGCGGTAGCGTCGACAAGACGCAGTGTCGTCACTCTGAAATTTGGAGGCAGTCTGTGATCCACAGAGGTTATTGCGTTCAGAAGAAGTTGTGTAAAATCACCTAATAAGCTGTAAGCAAAATGATCGCTTTGTTTCAGTGAAATACCTGTTCAGTTTCGGAGGAAAACAGAGACATTACTCTTCAGCACTCTCTGCAGACACGACTTTAATCGTAAGCTAACTGTTTCAGCTTGCTACTATAAATAGTTGAAATAACGCAGAACAAAATTTCGATGTTACATAACAGGGAAGATCTCCTTAGGGATCCTTCGACAAGCTAGCATTGTCCATAACTTCGGACACCCTCTATGCGCAAAGGTTGGAAAAACGGCGGTCACTCGGTCGGTATAGTTCGCTTGAGGACTAAAAGCCACAAGCTTGTTTGTTTTTGTAGCCAGTAAGGGCAACAGGTAATGTTTCTCACTTGATGCTACAAGATGTCACGCCCTTTCTGACTTCACGTAAGCCCCTATTCATTCCATTCTTTCAAAGTTCTTCCTCAGCCTCAGTGTCCTATGGGTCAGTAAAAGGTAAAAGATAAAGATAAATATGTCCCTGTAAGAGCCCTTGAAGTCCTATAGGGCATGAGACGTCGAGGTTCCCACGTCTTCTAGACAGTCGGCTCATAGATGGCGGTAAGGTTCTCAGCCTTACGCGCCGATTGTTCGGTAGTGTAGATAAAGTTATTAATGTACTTAATAAAGCACTACGGTTTGAAAGCTTACGGAGTGTGGAGGTAGAGCGCCACGAATTCTTATCCCCGGCACTAGATAAAGTCGAGTGTTTAGCTTCAGACTCATACCGCCTTACCACATTATCAACTGGAAAGGAGACTGGGAGATCCCATTGTCTATCACAACACTGCAGAGAGGAGGAAAGTCTGGTGTCCCTGTCATAAACAGAACCCAGGTTTCTTGATCGCTAAGCCTGTAGCCTATTCAATATTTTTTATACCGACTGAGCTATCCCTGCTCTTATTTAACGAACTAAAGAAGCAGGAAATTTCCGATTCTCCGTAGTGTTAGGCTGATGATTAAATTTGCATCAATACATTTGTATCTGTAACAGACGAACACAAAGACCATCACAAAAAAAAAAAGTGGAATATGTTACTTCGAATTAGCGCAGACTTTTCAATGTTGTTTCAGCGTGGGGTCACAACACCGCTGTAAGTATCGAAAGAATGCATCGCTTCATAGTACTCAGCTTACCTGTCTTTCACTTATTCAGTCCAGAAACTTCTCTCTTCCCGTCTGCTGTTTAGAAACGTAAAAATCATAATATATAAATCTATGTTTTGCCTTTGGCTTTGTATGTGTGTGAAACTGGGTCTCTGATATTAAAAGAGGAACATGGAATGAGGGTGTTTGCAAACAGGGTGCTGAGGATAATATTTGTACCAGAGAGGACTGAAGTGATAGGAGGTTGGGAAGAACTGTATAACGAGGCACTCTTCGCCAAGTATAATTAAAATGATGGAGTCAATGAGATTGAGATGGGCAGGGCATGTAGCAAGAATGGGGGAGAAGAGAAATACATATAGGATTTTGGGTAGGAAAGCCACAAGGAAGGACACCTTAATATCAAGATGGATCTTAGAGAGCTAGGATGGGGTAAACACGGACTGGATTGAGCTGGCTCAGGATAGGGATCAAGACGGTAACGAATATTCCGGCTCCATGAAATGTTGGGAAATTCTTGAGTAGCTTCGAAACTTGCGGCTTCTCAAGAAGGGCTCAGTTCCATGGAATTAGTTAGTCGTGCACTTATTATAGTGAATTATGCTTAATGAATATCATCAGTGTGTTTATAAGCCTGTAAACATTGCTGCATATTTCTACCATGTATTCCAGTCCCTCAACAATAATAATAACGAAATTTCTTCTACTCTTTTTGTTTTTGCGTAAAGTTTGTTTCAGTGTGTAAAGTTTGTGTCATATGCAGATGACGACCGCACATTGTGGGTCATTAATATGGTACACGGTATTGCTCCTTTGTGAGAATAAACCGAGTTTGCTACAAGAGTGTCCTCTGAGAACTTATGTATACTTCTTTCTTCAAAGGTTAAAGGCTTATCAGATATTTCTCGGAATAACGTATGATGAGGTGTAATGATAATATATTTTATTTGATCACGACTCGAGTACGATGGATGGCGTGCAGACAGTTACATATTTAGCCTGAATAAGCAGAAAGGATAATAATCCTGGGCTGATGTACATCTTGAGTGGTCGAATGATAGTTGTTTTTGGCCAAGTAATTTTTTATAGCTCTGGAAAAACTAGTTTTCCTGGGGAAGGGGGGAATGCTAGTAAATGGCATAGAGCCTTTTCTTCTACGAAAATTAATTCCTTTGCGCGAAGAATCGTGACGATGTCATTGCAACACAACATTTCTTCGCTGGTCTCCATTAAATAAAAATTTTTCGCTCTGTAAGTACATGGGAGAGATATACGTACTAATGGATTACCCTGGTAAATAAAAAGAGGAAGAATCTTCCTGCTGTACCCGAAAGAAATGTTAGGATAGTAACAGTCCAACTTGGATATTGAAAGCTTTATTCTTTTATCTTGCTGTCTCCTGTCTAAAATGTTAAATGTTTAAACACATAACACTATAATTTCAACTCTTGTTTTGTAATGTTAAGGGAAACGTGGTTTCTCACTTTAAACATAGAATTAGGACGTCTGAGAATAAAATAAGGAGAAGGATATTTAAATCCAGGAGAGACGTAGTGACAAAGGGATAAAACTAACGCATAATGAGGGAGCCCTCTGTTCATACCCTTCGCGTAATACAGTCATGCTGACAGAGTCGCGTAGCCGATCTGTAAGACGGGTGGAAGTGTAAGCACAGGCGATAAACGACTTTTTATTTTTAAAAAAATTGGAAAAAATATTGAAGGAAAGCGATGATAATATTATAATGTATCTTAGGAAATCAGTTATGAAGGCATGGACTGAATTTAAATATTTTTGGACAGGGTCCAGTACAGGATTCTCTTGAATACGATCGTGTATTTTCGGGCGCCATGAATACAGTGAATTTCTTGAAAACCTCAATAAGATTAGATGTATTTCATTTTTCATGTATTTTCTTTTTTTAAGAGATCCCTTGTCGTGTTATAGGGATTCATAGTAGGAATTAATCGATCTGAGACCTTCATGCATGAAAATTGTAATCATTCCACATTTTTCAAATAGACTGTAATACATGGTGGGAAAGCCAGAAGGAAATAGACCACTGGGAAGTCCAAGGCGTAGGTGGGTGGACAATATTAAAATGACCTTAGAGAGAGAGGATGGTATGGTATGGATTGGATTGATCTGGCTCAGGATAGGGACCAGTGGAGGGCTCTTGTGAACACGGTAATGAACCTCCGGGTTCCATAAAATGCTGGGAAATTCTTGAGTAGCTGCAGAATTGGCTTCTCCTCAAGAAGGGCTCAGCTTCATGAGTAAGTAAGTAATACATACTAGATATTTTTAAATTCGCTCAAGATCCTCGAAGATGAATACATGGATAGAAGAACAGACGGAGAATCTTCACGATTAGGGGCTCATTTCATATGCTTTGTGCAAGGTATGCATACTAAGAACCTTCCCACACGGGGGAGTTAGTTAATTGGTATGCAGAATTTAATAAAGGTTTACCTTTCATGTACCCCTCTAGCACTGAATTGCGAGAAACCGGTGCTTGGTCACAATGGGACGATATATCATGCGCTGCGGAAAGACGTATGCCCCAACCTTTATTAACTTAACTAAAATACACTCTTCCCCCGCCACTGTGGACTACCGCCCTCATGATTTTTTCGTTTAGGATTTGAACACAATGACTAAAATTTCGTATTGATACGCTGTTTATTTGCCGATCACAGTGGCCGTGCGGTCAAAGGCATGAATTCTCTTCGTTCCCTCAAACGCTGGGATCGTGGGTTCGAATCCCACTCAAGGAATTCTGTGGCGCTTTTATCCTACTACTTTTGAAGGAAACTAAGAGTTAAGACGGGCACTCGGTAGCGTAGTTGGTTGAGGCAATATGCTACAAGCCGGAAGGTCGCGGGTTCATATCCAGATGAAGCCATTGGATTCTTCAATTGGCCTAACCTTTTCAGCCGCACTATGACCCTGGCGTCGGCTCAACCTCTAGCAGAAATGAGTATTACGAATCTTCATGGGGGGGTAAAGGACGGCCGGCGCGTAAGGCTGACTACCTTACCGCCATCTGTGAGTCGATTTTCTAGAAAATGTGGGGTCCTCGACGTCTCACAACCCTATGGGCCTGCGCGGCCTGGTACAGGGATAGATTTGCCTTTCTTGACCTTTTACTAAGAGTTAAAAATGGTGTTGAATATTTGTTCAAACGAAACATATGATAGTTGTGTTCAAAATTGACATAAAAGCTGATTTGATAAGTATTTTTGCATGTTTACTGGAGTGTCCTAATTAACACTTAGAGACTTTCGTGAACAGCTGATAGTTACTTATCTGACAGTTATGTTTCGCCTCCTTTCTTGGAATCCCAAGCGTTCGCAAGGAACTGCCTCTGACCAGCGCCTCCGGACCACACCTTCACACTCAGTTTCACAAAAATCAATTCGAATATCGTCCAGTTGGGCCCAGTCTCACAAATTATGATGCAGTGTGCTGTCTCGTCTCTCCATAAAGTGCTAATGTCCCATCCCCCTCACCCTTCTTCATTTAATCGCACTAATACGAATATTATCTGCCGAATAGTAGTCCCCCCTCCCATTCCCTTCTGTCTCTAAAGTCTTCATATTGATCTCAGCACTGTCTGCTTCTATTTCTTTGCCTTTTCGTACTAGGCCCTCGGGTCTGTTTCCCATTCAGAATTAATTTGGAACTGTGGATCTTGTAGACAGTTGGTAGGAATCCTTGGACGGGTGATCCAGGCCTTTCGCAAGGCCGCTACCTACACAGGGCAACACACAATAGAAACGCAGACATCCTCGAACCCACGTTCCCAGTGTTTGATCGGACAAAGAGATTTCAAGCCACTATGATCGGCGCTTTGTTTTCAAACCCCTAAAGTACGTGTTCCTCCCTAGGTCTAAGTTTCTTATATCAAGTTTCATTAAGTAAAGTGAAGTTGTGCCTGCGCTTAACCGATTAAGCACTACACCATGAAGGCGTCTAGGGGAATGGATATATAGATCCAGATTTCCTTGACCTCGGTACTAGTTGGAGATTAGTTGTCATATTCACGCTCCGGCCAATTTATCCTTGAGGAAAGAGCCCCCGGTATCCTTTGGATAGGATGCTGGATAGGCCCCAGAGCCGGTCTGGACGCTGTGAAGAAGAGAAAAGTCTTGCCCTTACAGGGACTCGAACTCCGACACTTCGGTCATCCAGCCCGTAGCCAGTCGCTCTACTCACCACGCTATTTCGACTCCCATATTAATTTTCATACCCATAGAAAACAAAAGTTAAAATTATTGTTTTATATATTTAAATTTTTAACATTTTAGTTTGTACTCCGGAAAATAAAAAAAGATTCTTAACTGAATACTTATTGTGCTCTAAATTTCGCAAGGAATATCTTCGAACCAGTTTGCTATGCAGTAGATCTGCAAATATTGAAGTGTGTACGTCAATGTGAGATTTATTTCCCAGTAGACCTTCTGTTCGCACACATTTGACAGGCTATAAACTGATTTGCACAGCAGTAAAGAATCCTTACATGCTAATCCATTCAGAGAAAGAATTATTCCCTCTGAAATATCGGCGTAGTAGTACCATAAGAATGGGCTCCGTGCACCCCTAGCAGTATGCAGTAACACGCCCTGTCGCTCTGCATTGTTCCCCAGTGTATTGTATTCAACACTGCCTTCAGATACACTTGTTCGCGACATTACTGCAGTCACGGATCTAAGTGCAACACCGCTCGTCTGAAGCACCGTCAGAGAAATGTCAATATGTTGTTCTCACCTGGTGGTCCGCTTTAGTTATTAAAGTTGTCGGGAACCGAGTAAGCTCACTAGCCTGGTTTGAATTAGTTCCTAGAAAATTCAAGTCTCTGTTTATTTATGGATTTATTAACTACACTGCCAGTAACTGAGATCATGAAGCAACAAATGATTAAATGATTAATGAAATCATTTATTTTATTTCAAAGATTTAAAAACGCGTAAATATTAAAAATGAGATTTTACATGAAAAAATAAATTTGGCTTGGTTCATCCTGGTCCATCACACTAGTAATAAAATTACCACCACGGAGCAGAGCATCTTTCTTGATAAGCTAATGGTGGCTCAATTGGTTTAGCAGTTTCTTCCATTGAATTCGAAATCTTGGTATGATGTCCACGACCCGCTGAAGCCCCGCCTAACATTGTGTAAAATATATTTTTACGGTGAAGGTTTCTTATTCCCCCATCCAGTCTCTGAGCTGGAGGGCATCCAATTTTCGGCTGCCAGTGACCTGTTCTCCGTATTCGCAGATACCCTCCTTACATCCTCCATCCGTATTCTGGGGACGCACCACGCCATGGCGACAAGGAACCGCTCAACATGCAGATAAATCAATGCGGAGTTCAATATTCTTCGCTTTTTTTTTTCTTGGCACTACAGCCTCTGTGGGCCTAGGCCTACCTCCATGAACTTCTCCGTTCACTTCGGTTTTTCTAGATCTTACACATTCGGTAGGACTCCTTGGGCGGGTGGTCAGCTCGTCGCAAGGCCTCTACCTGTACACAAACACAGAAAATAGTCACACGCACAAACTAAACATCCATGCCCTGAGTGGGATTCGAACCCACGAAGCGAGCGAAGAAAGTACGTACATGCCTTAGACCGCTCGTCTACCGTGACCGGCCTTCGCTTTGTTTACCGAGTCCTTTTGAAGATATTGTACATGGAGTTACCGACTCAATTTTATCAGAGGCTCTTCTAATACTTAAATACGTGAATTGATACTATCACTGATATTTACTAATAATTTTAATTATTGCTTCATTTGTTTTTTTTTTATGTTTTAGTCATCCTGCTGTATAAGATCATTTTGTTGATGCTGTTATCTTCCTATGTGTAGGCAACCTGACGTACCACATTCCAACCGGAATAGCTGAGGATCGTTTCTCGGTGGATCCACACACGGGTGTTGTGTCCGTGAGGGCCCCATTAGACCGAGAGACTCGGGAAAGCTATATGGTGCCTGTCTATGTGACGTCACCACCACGTCGACCCGGGTCGCAGCAGATCGACGTGACCACAGTGGCTGTCAGAGTGCTTGATGTGAATGATCATGCTCCAGAGTTCAGACCCGGCACCTGCTATACTGTGGCTGTTCCGGAAAATAGTGATCTTGCTATCATCCATACAGTAGTTGCCACCGATTTGGACAGCGGACCCAACGGGGAAGTCACATACAGCATAACGGGTGAGTAGTGACATGTTGGCGGAGTTCCCAGCACAAGAAAGTACAGACGCATGTCCCTATCAATATATACTGCTCAGCTGAAAATGAGGTCATCTGCATAACCGACTAAATACAGTTGGATCGGCTCCTGTTTTCATAACCGACATACGACATCGCTAGGTTCATTGTGGAAACCATCTATCTATGGTTCTACAGCCATCTGCTGGACTTTGGCCGTTTTTCCAGTTTCTTGATCTTTACACAGTCGGTAGTACTCCTCAGAAGTTGGATAAGCTCGTCGCAAGGCCTCTACCTGCACATAGAACAGCAAAAACATAGAATAAACGCACACAGACATCTATACCTCAAGTGGGATTAGAATCCACGACCCCAGTGTTTGACAGGGCGAAGACATTTCATGCCTTAGACCGCGCGGCCACTGTGAGGGGCTTGTGGAGACAAAGTAAAAGGAAAATTTCGTACTGGGAGATATCAATGTAGACTTTTTGGATATTGAAGCCCCCAGAATATCTGACACATTATCGCTTTGGTTGATATTAATGCTTGATTCAATGTCAACGCAAACACATATCCTCATGAAATTCTTTATCGATAATGAAGCCATAACATACATTATTTGGTGATTTGTTTACATGTAGAATGAATTTCGACACATCACTTTGGTTGGCATTGCAGCTCAGTTTATAATAGATACAAGCCGCAAGAAAATAACTCTTATGCCAAGTACTCACACACACCGCTTGGCTGATAATGAAGCTGTCGGCATAGCCGACTCGATATGTTTGCTGACATTTCACTCAGCGTTGAATAATGATACATGACATAAAGATATGTATCTTATAGCTGCTGTATCAACACGCTAGGTAAGTTAGTTTGAGTTTCGACTGAAGAAACGGCAATCGAAATTGAGGAATCCAATTGTTTACCTCTGTTCTTCCGGGACAGTTTCTCGTTTATCACATCTCGAAAACACAAGCTTCATTTTACCTTGTATACACCATTACTGTTATATGGGACGCCATATAGCCTATACAGTAGTTAACAAAGAGTAGCTGAATAAAGGGAACTATAAAACTAAACTCCGTGACTTTAGTCCGCAAGCGAACTATACCGACCGAGCGACCGCCCCTTATCCGCGAAGTTAGTTCCAACTTTAGCGGATAGAGGGTGTCACGTGGTCAACACAACGGATCCCCACTACCCTTAATCTGTGTTTTCTAGACCGGAGCCTCTATTTCCTTGAAATTACTCCTCAGTTATCCTCACGAGGCTGAATGGACCACATTCTTGACCCACTACTCAGAAAATCTTGTAGCGCCGGGAATTGAACCTCAGACCTCTGGATCTGTAGCCAGGAACTCTGGCTGTCATTAATAATGACTGGTGAGCTACAAATTCACTACATTTAATTACAACCACGGATGATGCCGCTTGCCGCGAGTGTCAAGTAATGAAAAGCCGAAATATATACACTCATTGCTGGATTTGATCCGTGGCAGGATCAGGGGCCTTCACTCGTCAGATGAGTGGTATCACGGGTCACGCGATCTGCGTGCATAGCTCAGCATTCATCCACTCCAGTTCTGAGATCGATACTCTGAGCTGCCTTCACTCCACTCCGCTGCTTAGGAGTAGGATCAGCCGTACTAATGAATAGCTTTCAGAGTGTACACAGGCCCACGTTAATATCTTATTTTAATCTAGTTCAAATTAACGTTTGCCAGTGTCCTGTTTGCCGATCACAGTGGCTCCTCGGTCTAAGGCATGAAATGTCCTCGCCAGCTCGAATACTGGGATCGTGGGTCCGAATCCCCCTCCAGGCATGGATATTTATTTGTGTTTATTCTGTGTGTAGTTAGCGGCCTTGCGATTGGCTGATCCCCCGTCCAAGGAGTCCTACCGACTGTGTACGGGATCGAGAAACTGAAGTGAAACGAAGCGTTTCACGAATACCCTATGCTCTAAGTGGGAGCAACAGGAATAGAATAGAGGGAGAGGAAGAATAAGAATATATATTTGTTTACCCTTTGTAAGCCTAAGGCAGCGTCTACACGAGCGCACAAAACGCGTCCGTTGTAAAGAACGTCGTGAAACAATAAAGAAGAAAGGCGAATGCTACGCTTCTTCTGGCTCCATTGCAGACAAAAAACTACGCACCGCATTATGCAACTGTGTAGCGTCCTCAGCAACGTCCTCAGCAAAGCACGTTCATTACAACGGACGCATTTTGTGCGCTCGTGTAGACGCTGCCTAATGATTCACTCCCTGAAGAAAGCATTTTTTTTTCCTTGGCACTACAGCCCCAGTGGGCCTAGGCCTACCTCCATGAACTTCTCCGTTCACTTCGGTTTTTCTAGTCTTACACATTCGGTAGGACTCCTTTGGCGGGTGATCAGCTCGTCGCAAGGCCTCTACCTGTACACAAACACAGAAAAACGCACGCACACACACACACAAACAAACTAAACATCCATTCCCTGAGTGGGATTCGAACCCACGATACCGGTTTCCAAGCGAGCGAAGACAGTACATACCTTAGACCGCTCGGCTACCGTGACCGGCAAAGAAAGCATAGGAGCTGTAGAAATTACTGCTTTCATCTTTATGTGCGTCTAATATTCCATTTTTTTACTTCAAGGTCTTCCCACTTAGAACTAGATATTTTCGTGGACATTTTGTTATCAAGAGCTTGTAATTTATATTCTTTCAAAGTAAGACAACCCTTCCACAATCGACGACATAGACCCTCAATTAGGCCCACGATCGCTTCCTTTCAAATCCTGTCCAATGAATCATTCATCTGTCATACTACCATTTAACTCAGAGTGCGATACGCAAGGAGTGGTAAAATAACTTACCGACTTCTACAGTCACACAATTCAACCGATAAAATACTTGATTCTTGTGTGTTAGTCTGTAACACCTGTTTGGAAGTGACTATGGTGACAACAATTTTGACTTGCCCTAGTAGCAATGATTATCTTCTTTAATTTTGAACTTCGCTTTTTAGGAATATACGTACATCAATATGGAGAACTAAAGTAAATCTTTATGATGGGCAGGTAACAACGTAAATACAAAGTTGTACATTTCCCTGTGAACCATAACATAAAAAAGTATGAAGGAGTGAAGGAGAAGCTCCACACATTCTGGACATTGACATTAGAGAGAGATGAGTGGTCCGCATTCATGTTCGGCCGTTTTATCCTCTGGGAAAGAGCACCAATTACACACTGGATAGGAGAATGGGTGGTTTCAGTAGCCACTCCAGAGGTGACGAGGGATAGAAACATAGCTGTCACAACCTGGACTCAAACCATTTTCTTCCAATCCCTAGCCAGTCACTTCACTGAAACATTGGCTGAAGGAACGAGTCATGCATTTCTATGGACGGGGGGAGATAAAACCTCATCTCGCAATATGACAATGTCTCGGTACCCATGACAACGATGTAGAAAAATAGTTTACTCGTTGCAAAATAGCGTTGTGTTATCATTATTAAGCGTCATTACTGTATTCCAGATATATGCCTTGTGAATTTGCTCTATGGCCACCCCTTATATTTGGTGATTATTCTTCAACAATGATTTTTGTCCGCAGGCGGAAACATAGGCAACAAGTTCAGCATCGATTTACACACCGGGGAACTGACAGCGCGTCCTCTTGATCGCGAATCCCACTCTCGCTACTGGTTGGTCATAACGGCGCAGGACAGGGGAACCCCCGCGCCACTGCAAGGTTCCTGCAATGTCTCCGTTTTGGTTGAAGATCAGAACGACAATGATCCCAGGTTCTCTCAGCCCCGTTACAGCGCCACGATCCCCGAGAACGTCCCTGTGGACACTGTAGTCCTCGCAGTTCAGGCTTCAGATGCAGATCTGGGAGTGAACGCCAGGATTGTGTACTCTCTTGCCAATGAGAGCCAGTGGTTGTTCAGGATTGATAACAAGTCTGGTGTCATCACTACAGCTGGGTAAGTCATTGCTTGTTTGAATACATGGGTATACCCGAATTTAGTGAGCATTTTCTTTCATCCAGGTACCTCGTGAATAATAAACTGTGTCATACGTTGCTCACATTGATTTATAAATTATTTTAGAAAAGGAAAACAAAGAAAAGGAAAGAAGTACGTAAAGCTATCCCCATAACAGGCCTTGGAGGCCCATAGAGGTGTGAGATGTTGAGGTTCCTACATTTTCTAGACAATCGGCTCATAAATGGCGGTAAGGTTGTCAGCCTTACTCGCCGGCCGCCCTTTACCCCCAAGAACATTCCAAGAATATTCCTGGTACTCATTTCTTTTAGAGGCTGAGTTGACCCCATGGCCATAGTACGGCTGGAATGATTAGGTCAACTGACAAAAATCCACCTCATCGGTACTCGAACCAGCAACTTTCCATCTTGTAGCATAGTGCCCCAACCAACTGCGCTACCGCGTGTCCCTTGTTATTACTTATACACCTTGTACAACTGTCATATAAAATATTGTTTTCTTCATTGTAAAGATTTAGAATTTGGGCGCTTATTATAGTTTGCAGCACATTGAATTGGGGCTAGTGGAGTGGACCCATAGCTTAGGTGTCGTCCGTAGAACCCCGTCAGGGGTCAGCCCTATCAAGCGTCTCATGAGAATGCGATAGTTCCTGGTGAGGGCACATGAAAAATATGCCCCTTCTTATAAAGTGGGTCATATGTAGTTATGTAATAGATTACTAAGAGAGTAAGTTAGCTAATCAAAGGTGATAGACACACCGAACAGGTTGGTCTCTGTACTTGTATTCGAGAGATGCCCGGTTCTTATCTCTTTCTGGACATTTGCAATCGTGACTAATGTTCTTCATGTCTTTTCTCAGCCACACCAGGAAAATTCCGGAATGATGCCACAAATAGGCTATGACCACGCTGCCTTCCAAGCTCTTTTCCAATTCAGAATTGCTAGGGTTGTACCTCCCCTCTCATGAGAGGACAGAACACAACCATTTTCCTAAACGTTTTGTTATGTAGTTTCTTAAGTAGTACACCGGATGAAAGTGAGAGGGCAGGTTTGCGCTCCAGTCGCTTTAACCCCGAGGAAAGACCCCCCCCAAGTACACATTCGATAGGTGACTGATTTGACTTCAGAGAAGGCCTGGAAGCTGTTAAGGAGAGAAATCTATTTTGCTCAAGGCAGAAATCGAACCGAGATTCCTCGGGTCGCCCAGCCCGTAGCCAAGTCACTCTACCGCATGTGTTAGGAAAACAAACTGTCAGAATGGAAGACAGAGGACTCTGCCTGATAATCGCGTTCAATGGCGGGCTTACTAGCGGTTTTGAACGAACCGGTTCGCGTAACAGAGAGTTACTGAACGCACGCGCAGTCGTACAGACGCGTTTTTTTTTTTTTTTTACTTTGGCTGGGATGAGATTGAGTTCATTTGGTACGTCGACCAATAATTGGTCTATTGTACCAGCTCCGGATGATGGTTGGTGAGTGTGGGCCAGTCGGTGGAATGAGAATTGGTAAGGGAAACCGAAGTACTTGGAGAAGACTTACCCTAGTGGCACTTTGTCCAGTATAAACCCTACATGACCTGACCTAGGCTCGAAACCGGGCCTCCGCGGTGGGAAGCTGGCGACTAATTGCCTGAGAAATGACACGACCTTAGATACACACACGTTCCTCCCTGTTTGAGCAATCTTATGACTCGAGGCGTCTCGGTTCTACAAGAACAAGAAATGTGTTTGCCGGCCGGTAGTCCCTTATTATTCTGACCTGCTTGCAGTAGTCTGTCTACATCTGACAAGTTTCGGAACATGGAGGGAGGCTTCTACTGCCACTGATAGTGTCGTACCTTGGATTTACATTTTGATTGATTATGACTCTCCGGTCTTCGTTATTCCAATGTCTCGATCGTCTCGTTATAGGACTGAAAAGGTGGAGTCTGTATTATCACATCGAAACGCATACAACCCAGAAGGATATGTCATGTTTCCCCGTTATCGGTGATTGGAAATATGTTATCTTTCTCTGCCATAATTTGTGTGTACAGTCTATTTCAGAAATTAAGAATAGAGTTATCCTCTCATTGATTGTTACAAATGTGTATATATATATTATTTATTATACTGCAATTGGGTTTTAGCCCGGTGGCAGTAGTACACAATAGGACACAACAGACAAGTAACACACTTTACACTAAGTGACAACACGTTCAAGCAAAACACAATACACAAAAAAGACAACAATAAGGACATCCTACCACAATGAATACAAACCAAATACGATTAACAACTACAACAATTACAGAGAAATACAAACAACTGCAACAAATACAACAACAAATACAGAGAGAGAGAGAAAAAATACAACACCCAAAACACAAACAAAAGGAAACCAACATGCGTAATGTCATTTACTTCACTTCACTTCACTTCACTGTAGAGGTAAGGTGAAAGTAAAGTTGCCCTTATGCTTAACAAATTAAGCACCACTCCATGAAGGTGTATGGGGGAGTGGATGTACGGGCTGTACAGGATGTATAGGTTGACCTTGGCACAAGTTGGAGGTGAATGGTCAGCCTCACACCTCGGCCGCTTTACCCCCGGGGAAAGAGACCCCGATTCCCAATGGATAGGTTGGATGGACCCCATAGCCGGTATAGACGACGCGGATAAAAGAGAATTCTTGATCCTACCGGGACTCGAACTCCGACCTCTCGGCCGACCGGCCCGTAGACAGTCGCTATACCGACTACAGTATCCTTATTCGCTTACAAAGAGCATATCAAAATTTGTGAACACAGCTTTGTATTCCATCTTCAAAATTCTGTTTAAACCCTAAATAATTGGTGTAATAAATGTTACTTCTACAAGATGTTTCAAAAGTTACAAGAATAAGTTTTAATTTGATTGCTGGTTATGGTTTAAATTTTCAACTACTTTTCAAGTAGTTCCTCGGTTATCCTCACGAGGCTGAGTGGACCCAGTTTCAGACCCACTACTTCTCCGAAAATCTAGTAGCGCCGGGAATCGAACCCTGGACTTCTGGATCTGTAGCCAGGAACTCTGACCACTAGATCACACAGGCGGCCATTATTCGTCAGTAATTCCATCGTACGGCGCCATATAGCCTGGTATACTGACAACGTCAAGTAAATCCACGAAACAACAAACAAAAGGACTCTCTTCTCAGAAGCCGATCTACTCCTTACTCAATATCATATTCTGTTATTTTCGCCGCTATGTAACATCTCCAGTTGAAGCAGCATCGTAAAGTAATCAAAGAAGTCTTAAATTTTTATGTGTTATTTAGTTCCTCTGGCACAAAATTGATTTAAGATTCAAAACTGTATTTGTGAATGACAAATCTGTAGTATTTTTGGCAGAGCCTGTACATAAATTCTGAGAGTGACAAGAGACACTCAGTTGCCGCCCACCTACTTCAGCATGGCTAATTCATTGTCTGCAATTCTAGGAATGAAAGGTTCAGACTTCAGCATTTATTTCATAATTTCTCTGAAACGCATTTGCTTTCGGTGCTTGCAACAGAGAGATTCATTCCCTTGTATCATTACTTGAATAGATTTGTTTATGAATCTGCAGATGGATTGTTATTGTAGGCAAAGAGTGATCAGTGTTTGGAATTTGGATGGTAGCAAATAGCCAGTGCAGAATATCAGAACCTGAATACAGGGGCAGTGCACGTCGAGCCAGGCTCCTCTCAAAAAATGGAGGGGTTAGTGTCACTTTGTGTGACGGAACCCCTCCATACTTATTCGTGAGTATAGCAAGTGTCACGTAACTTCGAACAAGGCCAAGAGTAACCTTGAATGCGCAGAAGAAAAGTTTCAGACAAGGGGGTGGGTTCGAGGGTGTGAGAAGTGACAGGCNCCACCCCCTTGTCTGAAACTTTTCTTCTGCGCATTCAAGGTTACTCTTGGCCTTGTTCGAAGTTACGTGACACTTGCTATACCACGAGCAGGATGGAACACTACAACACCACAACACTGTGAGTGCCATTCTTTTCCTGTCTCTAGATCCCAACATGCCGATAACAGTGGCCGCGCGGTCTAAAGCATGACCTGTCTTTGCCCGCTCGGACACTGTGATCGTGGGTTCAAACCCCACGCCAGGTATGGATATCTGGGTCCGTTTATTCTGTTTGTGTTGTTCTGTGTAGGTAGTAGTCTGGCGACGGGCTCAACCTCCATCGAAGGGGTCCTACCGACTCTATGTAGGATTAAGAGACTGAAGTAGCCATCGAGTTCCATCAAAGGATTTTAGAGTCATAGATAGATAGATAGATAGATAGATAAATAGATAGATAGATAGATAGATAGTGTAGGATTAAGAGACTGAAGTAGCCATCGAGTTCCATCAAAGGATTTTAGAGTCATAGATAGATAGATAGATAGATAGATAGATACATAGATAGATAGATAGATAGTGATATACCACCTTCCATTCGGCTTTCCCCATTTGTCCGTGACATAGTGAATTGATCTTTGCTTAATGGATATCTAGATGAATAGGCGGATGAACGGATGGGTGGGTGAATAATGGATAGACTGAATGACTGGTGCCTTGGATGAATAATTAAATCAAAACATCACGATGAGGAGACGAACGAAAAGATGACAACAAAACCCAAACTTCGTGGTTTTAGTTCGCAAGCGAACTATACCGACCGAGCGATCGCAGTTTGTTGGCGAAGTCAGTGCCAACTTTAGCGGATAGAGGCTGTCACGTGGTCAGCGCAACGAATCCCCACGGCCGTTAATTTCGGTTTTCTAGACCGGAGCCGCCACTTCCTTGAAATAGCTCCTCAGTTATCCTCACGAGGCTGAGTGGAACCTGTTCCAGACCCACTAGTTCTTAGAAAATCTGGTAGCGCGGGGAATCGAACCCGAGACCTCTGGATCTGTAGTCAGGAACTCTGACCACTAGACCACAGAGGCGGTCGTGAAAAATCTGATAGGAAGAGAAAAATAAGTT